TTCTGTCCCCATGTTGTTCTTGTCACCTGACTTGTTCCCTGACATCTGTCCCTGTGAGAATCACCCCAGACATTCCCAGCCTGGAGGGGTCTCAGTTCTTCTGACAGCAGCAAGGAGGGCTGCCTGGGTCCCGTCACGGCAGCTCAGCCAGCAGTCGGAATCAGCAACTCAGACTCGTCCCTGGGTCACCCCCAAAACAGAAACAAACACACAAAACAAATGGCAGCCTGCGGACACCTTAAATACAGTCTGGTGAGAGCCACACTGGATTCTGACCCAGAGAATTGTGAGATAACAAATTTGTATTGTATTAGGTCATGAAATTTATACTATTACAGCAAAAATAGAAAGTTAACCCAATAAGCATTGGGAAACAATGTGCCAGGGAACTAAACTGTGAACCTGGTGAGTTATCCATGGGGTTACATCCAGAAAGAGCTCTGTCAAAGGGTGACAATTATTGACACATTTATTTAACACATGTGACATGACACCCACACACAGAGGGAGGGGACACATGGTGAACAGTCACAGTGATGATGATGATGAGGAAGAGCAGCCTTTCCCCAGGACCCACAGGTGACAGGAACCTCGGGAACCTCAGTGGGTGGTCAGCGGTGGGCGTCCCTGTCCTGGACGTGGGTCCCCCCGTGTGATGGAACTTCCACTGACGTCCGTCTGCCCCTCCCCCCACCATCCTGCTCACAGAGGACCTCCAGGTGGGAGGTGGGAGGGGGGGTCTGCTCTGTGCCCACAGGTCACAGGCTGGTTAAGACAGTGGCTGCTGGTCCCTTCTCAGCCCTGTGTGATGGGGTCACTGTGAGTTCACCCTCTGGACCACGGCGTCCTGCAGAGCCAGTCAGTGAAGGGTGGACCACGGCTCTGACAGTTGACCTTGAAGGATCCAAGTGGGTTGTGGCCTTCACAGTCACCTGCAGTGACCTTTACCCTTGGTGCCCTGGGAGGGACCCTCAGGGCTGCCCATGACCCTGCCCAACAGGACAATCAGCTGCAAAGGGACAGACGAGAGGGAGGGAGAGGGGAGGGGCAGGGGATGAACATCACTCAGCATTAACTTCTGTGTGAATTATGTACGTCAGTGAACTGCCGCTGACTCAGTTTCCACACTGTCTATATGAGGCTGCTTCACAGGGTTTTTGAGAATGAGTCAGATTCACCTGAAGCAGGTAGCACAGCACTAGTACATGTGGAGTCACCTATAAATGTCAGCTCTGGTTGTTCAAAGCCCCTGACTCACCTTTGGAAAGTTAACTCACTGTCTGCACCCTCATCTTCTTAACTCTAATGAAATATGAATGAATATTAGTAAAGTTCATCACTCATGTGTACTTTGTAAGTGTTTTCCTGCTGAGAGGTTTTGCTGTCCAGGAGGCCGTGAGCTCCAGGTGGGGCAGCGAGAAGCAGAGACGTTTCTTCAGCCTGAGGGTCCCCATTCCCATCAGCTGAGCCCGGGGACACTGGGGTCTCCAGGGAAGGGTCAGGCACTGGGTTAGACACAAGGGACCTCCCCACTGCTTCCTGCGCTGGGCAAATAGTCAAGGGAGTGCGCCGAATTGTCGAAATCGAGAAAACAGGCCTCAGAGGCCCAGAGAAGCGGGTGTGCGGGAAGGTGAAGATGTGAGACCCGTCGAGGGCATTGTAGAAGGAGACCTCCCCCAGCTCACAGTCCAGGAAAACTCCCACCCTCTCAGGATTGCTCACATTGGTCAGTGTGGTCTGCAGGTCTGTGAGAGCCCAGCAGATTCTCCGAGGATTCAGTCCCACTGTCCAGAACCCATTCTCGGGGGCCATTTTAAAGTTCCCTTTTCTCATCACGTCCTCCCTGCACACCCCAATACACCACTGTTCCCCGCCCCCCACCTGCACCTCCCAGAAGTGTGTCCCCGATGTGAAGCTCTCACAGCCCAGCACACAGGACTCTTGGTTGAATCTCTTGGGGTTTTCTGGCAGGTTCTGCCGTGTGTCTGTCCCTTGCAGGCTCCTCTTGTCCTCAGAAACATGGAGTCTGGGGTGCGCCGTGTCTGGATCCAGAAACACATCCACTGCAGGGGGTCAGAGGGCGTGGGGTCAGCCGTGGTGCCCGGACATCAGAGCCTCAGCCTTCCAGGCCTGGGTCTGGGCAGGAGGCCAAGCCCACAGTCCTGGGTCCCCAGCCCACCCAGGACCCTCAGCCGTGCCAGGGACACTACAGGGGTCTGGTGTTTGGGGAGGAAGGTGAGGAGGGTTGGGATCTGCTATTTTCCTATTTATGCCCCAAAGATGTCCATGCCCACCTGTGCTGCACAGTCACATGGATTAAACGTCAGCCCTGGCTCTGCCCCCTGAGCTGGGGGACGTCCTTTCCTGCACAGTCTCTCTGTCCACAGACACCAGCTACGGAATATCTCAAGTTCAATATCATATTTGAGAAGTGGGGGTGAAACACTAATCTCTGGGGAGGAATAGGACAAATGGGTGGTATACTGAGCCCCAGGCCGGGCACAGAGGAAGTGCCTGGTGTGACAACAGACACCGTGTCCCTCCTGTGCTCGGGGCCAGGCTGGGGCTCCAGGTGCTCTGGGGTCCACTCCCCACCTGTCCCACCCCCTCTGGCCCAGGAGTCAGTCCTCCATGGACAGCACCCCTGGGCCCCTGGGCTCTGGTTACTGTGGGGTTTGGCCAAGGGGAGGCGCAGGCTGGACAAGGGAAGGAGGCAGGAGGGGGACACAGCGCTGACCCCCATGTTACAGTGTGAGAAAGTGCTGTAAGGGGTGTGTTGTCAGGGAATAATCTGTGCACATTGTGGGGTCCTCTGTCCTTTCTGCCCCTGTAACCCTGGGAGTGAATCACCCTACAACAGTCTGTTACAGTCTGAGGAGTTGTCTGCATCGTTTTTAGGTCATAAGACACCTTCCCCTCACTGTGGTCATTACCGTCAGACAAACACCCCCTTCAAACAGGCCGTCTGTTTCCTGCGGGTGCTCTGACAACACACAGTCACCCCCTCACTCGGTCCTTGTCCCAGCCCTCACAGAGCAGCAGTGACTGTGGAACACAGCAGAACTCGGGGACACACAGGGGCAGGAGGGGAGGAGCCTGGTCAGGTCCCCCCTCCCTCTCCCTGCAGCCCCTCCCTCCAGCCCCGCCCCTCCTGCCTCTTCCTCCCACAGAGACCTGTGGGCCCCAGGACAGCCTCTGTCCCGGGTCCCTAAGCTCCGGGCAGCAGGTGGGCACACCTTTGAGACCTCGACCTCAGGTCACCACCCACAGTCAAGAGCTAGAGAGGAAAGAGGGAGCAGGGGCCCTCGGGGGTTGTCCTGGGGACACGGAGGGACCCACTCACCAGGCTGGAAGAGGGCCGTCTTCAACTCTGGAAGGAAGGAGACACAGACAAGAAAAGGTCATTCTCTCTCTCCCCCCCCCACTGTCCTCACTGAGCCTCTTCTCTCTCCTCTCCTCAGTCCCCTCCAACGTCCACTCCCCTCGTCTGCAGCTCTGCGGGCCAGGCTGCACCCTCTCCCAGTGCTGGGCTTCCCCCCATCACGCTGGGGCCGTGGGGACACGACCAGGCTGTGCCGGGTGTGGGCGTGGGTGTCAGCAGGGTGAGGGGACACTGGGTCTGGAAGGTCCTCTCTGAGTGACCAGACAGGAGGGGGGTGGTGCAGACACAGAGAATGAGCCTCTGAGCCTGACGGGACGGCCCCTCCCCCGGCAGGAAAGGCTGCACCTGCTTCCCCCACAGGAGCCTGGAAACCAGGGAGCCTCAGGCTCACTCACCTGCATAGACCTGAGACCGCTCCTCACCTGCAGTGGAGACAGACAGTCACCTGAACTGTCCTTTCTGAGTCGGTTCCTTTCTGTCCCTTGTGCCCCCTGTCACCTTCCTGTGTGCCCCCCACCCTCCCCACCTCCCTCTCTGCCTGTTCCCTCCCCGGTGCCCCCTCCTCTTTCCATCAGCTGCAGCTCAGGACCCCCAGGCGCCCTGCACAGGCTGTCCCAGGGTCACCGCACAGCTGTCCTGTCCGGGTCTGTGCAGCAGTCACCTCACATCCCTGCTTTAGCTTCTGAAGGTTCAGTTACCTTCTGACAACCACGGTTGGAGAGCAGTGAATAAAAATTGCAGAAACAAACAATGCATAAGTTTTAAATTGCAGATCACTCTGAATCGTGATGAGGTCCCCTGCTGTCTGCTCCGACCTGCTGTGTTGTGAATCCTCCCTGAGTCCAACACATGCACCCTGCGGACCCCCTCTTAGTCACTGAGGAGTCTCTGTGACAGACGGATGGCCTCAGCATCACAGCGCTGGTGTTCAGTCTCCCGTATTTTACTTAGTAATGACCCCAACGAGCAAGAACAGTGATGCTGCAGTGCTGGGGAGCCAACGAGAAGCCATCCTTTACATGAGGGGGAGAAGCCTCGTGTATTCAGGGTTTGGTCCTCTCCACGGTCAGACGTCCCCTGGGGGACCTGGACTGTGACCCTGTCATGTAAACGATTTCCACGTTCTCCAGGACCTGAGTGTGCCTGCGCACACGCTGCCCTGTGTACACACGCGTGTACCTGTGTGCTGGGATTCATTCCCCTCAATCTGCATTATTTCCTGCCCACTCCGAAACAATGGGGAAACCTAATGGGAAAATTTCAGATACTACTCTTTCAGCAGTAAGGGTAAGTCTCTGATAACTGACACGGCCACTCCTGTTTTTAAGACACTTTTGCCTCCTGCCTTTCTTTTCGGTGGGCTACAGAGTTTGTGAACCAAGCAAGGAAGGAAGGACTCACACCCTGAGTCATCTCCCCCTCCCCCTCCCCCTGTCCTTTCTGGGGTTCCGGGGTGTCCTGCGCGAGCGCCCCCTGGTGGAGAGACCGCAGTCCCTTCCCCTCTGAGACAGACCACTGCCTGGTCCCCATTCAGCGTCCTCATTTCTTCCCCTGGGACGTTAGTGGGGAGGACACTGGCTGAAATATCTGAGCAGAGAGGCTGAGATGCGGGTCCGGGTCACTCACGTGGTAGGTACGGGATCTTTGTCCACCCTGCAGGGAACAACGTGAGGGGTCAGTGACTCGTGTAATGCAGGGTCCCCAGGACGTGTGGGCCGGGGATCGCCACTTACTGAGTTCGCCCTGTAGCTTCTCTGGAAATAAGCAGGAAAAGAAAGTCCTTTAAAAGGGGTGGAATAGAGGACCTGCATGGTGGGTGCGGGGTGGGGCTGGGAGGTGGCGACCACCTTGCAGCTGGGCCTCACCTTTGGCGCCTCGCTCCTGCTGCTCCTTGGCCTGAGCTGCTTCTTTCTCCGCTAGCGCCCTCTCCTTCTCCTGGGACAGGGCCTGGTTCTTCTTCTGCTGTCTCCACAGGAAGTAGCCCGCCGCCGCCAGGAGCCCCAGCAGAGCCAGCAGGGTCACTCCCAGGGCCACCACCCAGGGCTGTGCGTTCCGGAAGAAGGGGCCTGCGAAGGGTGAGCCTCAGCTGAAGGCCACCCTGGGTCTCAGAGTATCTGGGGACTGAAAACAATCGTTCTCTCCCCAAAGTGCCCAGAACTTTCACTGGCACATAACACCGTTGTCTTGAAGTAACTGCCTCTCACATGGGAATATTTTGAATATAAAAAAAACGTACACAAAGTCATTGAAATCTCTCCACTGCTCCTCCCTCTGCCATTTACTATCTTCTTCTGGGTCACTTTACTCTGGGGATTAAGAACGTGAACTTTGGGGCTGGAGACCTGGGCTCCAATTCTGGGTCTTCCACCTGACTAGCTCTGTGACCTTGAACTAATGACTTAACCATCTGCTCCTGGTGTCCTGACTGGTAAGAGATTAAATCAATGCTTACACAGTACCTGACACATAGTGAGTGCCATGCAAGTTTTATTAAATTTTAAAAACATAAATATAGTTTTATTTTATCTTGTGTACAGTGAAGGCAGCACTCTATACCAGCGGGTCCACAGGTTGTTCTCTGCTCCCCTGGGTCTGGGCGACCTTCCCCCCTCAGCACAGGGGGCAGGTCTGTGTCTGCTCTCACAGGGCAGCGCCCCCTGCACACACGGCCCCTCGGGGCACTTGCACCGTCTCTGACTCTTTGTTAAAATGATTGATGGTGCAGGAAATAACCTTTTATATGAGGCATTAAGTACAAATGTGAGCTGATCTGTGAGCTAAAGTCCCAGAAGTGGGGTCTTGCATAACTGAATGAGCACTCTGGATATGGTGGCTCTGGTGTCCCCAAAGGCAGATGTGCTCACTGACACCAAAAATACACCAAACAATAGCCACAAACCTCTAGGAGTCACTGACTCCCCACAATCCTGCCACCAGAATGTGTCACCATCACCTCCTTCTTCCTCTGTTGCCAGCCTCACAGGTGGGCATCACCTCCAGAGTCAGGGAGATCTGACACCTTTTCCTGAGTCATTTCCTGTTCTGTGAACTGATAATTCCTGTTCTTTGCTCTTTGTTCTAGTTGGTTGTTTGATATTTTAAGATGAGCCCTTTTTCTAAGATTTGCATGGTACATATTTTTCCCTTTTCTCATGTCTTTGCTGATCTTGACCCTTTCTCCTCAGTTTCCATCCCCTGGCACCGTGTGTGGCCGCAGGAAGTGCTCAGAAGGTGTCTGTGACACAAACAGCTTCATGGGGAAGGAGCAGCAGGTCCCTGCTCTGTCCCTTCTGTTCCCTGCACAGACCCAGGTCAGCAGCAGACAACCACACCTTCCCCCCAGGGGGCCACCCAGGGAGCCCAGGGCAGTGGGCAGGGCACTCACCTGGGATGGAAAGCCCTGGCTGACCTCTCCTGGCCCAGCAGGGGGTTTCTGATGACACAGGAGACCCCCTCCCCAGAGCCACCTTCCCAGGATCACAGAGGCTGAGGCTGCATAAAGGCCCTGGGGGTCTGCAGCCTCTGTGGCCACCTCAGCAGACAAGCTGTGTCCCCTGGCGTCTCTCCACTGGATCTGGGGCTGCGGGTACCAGCCGGCAGACGTGCACTCCACACGGATCCCTCCAGCCTCGTAGCCCTTCATTTCAACGTGGGAATCAGAGCCCAGCGCTGGGGAGGAAAAGTGAGTCTGAATCATGGGGAGCCCTCTGCACTGGTGGGGGTCTCCACAGCAGGGAGGGGCACACACATCCTGGATGAGCCCAGCAGGGATTCACAGGAGCTGCTCCCAGAGTGTGCTGTGCAGGAGAGACTGACCCACAGTGTGACCACTGCCTGACCACCGCTGGGCCCTCGTGCTAGATCCAGGGGGATCTGGGCAGAGCAGACATTGTTTCCCCTGAATTTCCTTAGAGACTGCTGGACCCTCCCTTTCACCCCATGGCCCAGACATGCTGGTTCCTGGAGCAGCCCCTCACCCCACCCTAGGCAAGGATGCAAGTTCCCTGTTAGTTGAAGCAGGTCACACCCCAGAGCCCCCATGCATCCCCCCTGTCCTGTGTGAGCCTCTGCCCTGCCGTGTGGGGGAAGGATCTCCACCTCGTCTTGCTGCCACTAGCTGTGCTCTGTGTGCTTGTTCCCGTGTGAAAATCTTGCTGTAATTAATGCTGCAGGTGTCAGCCTCCTTTGGGGCCTCTCCACCGTGGGAGGTTTCTATCACGTGACTGTTCAGAGGGAAACACTTCTCCACAGAGGAGCGCTGACCCAGGCCAGGAACTGTGGGGTTTTTCCTACTGACACTGAATCCCTAAACACAAGGGGAGCAGGGGGAAGCCCCTTACAGACCTGAGAGGACAGAGTCCTGTGGGGAGGACTCTCTCAAAGGACCTGTGGTCTACAGGGAGGGACAGTGTCTGGCTCAGGAGGCCCTGCAGGGACAAAGCCAGGACCCCCCACAGTCCATCCCCTGCCGGGCTCCCCAGGGACCCACCAGGCAGAAGCCCAGGGCGGGGCTGTGTCCTGAGAAGGTGAAGTGCAGCCCTGACACCCGGACACGAGCACTTTCATGGGGGCAGCACCTCAGACAAGGTCACTCTGTCCCTGGGACGGGTCAGGACAAAGTCAAGACCCCTCAGCAGCCGGTCTGAGCACAGAGGAAGCAGGAACAGTGTGCAGACCACAGCAGTGACCACCCTCCCCTGTCCTGGCTGGGACTGACCCATGACACCCCTGCACCTTCCTGACAGCGTCCAGCCCAAAGCAGAGCCCTGCTTCCACATCCCCCCAAGTCCCCTGACAGCCCAGAGGGTCACACCCAGATCCTCCCTGACACCCCCTCTCTGAGACACCCCGGTTTCCTCCCCGGTGCGACCCCCTCCCTGCTCCAGGGATGGACACACCCTGTTCAACTGCACGTGTGTCCCGGGGCCTTTGGTTGGAGGGTGTGGGCACCACAGGTGTTGTCCCTGCAGCTCAGCCCCCTGGACCCACAGCAGCGGGCACCTGGGGGGCCCACGGCCACTGTCTGGGACACGCTGCACCCAAACACCTGTGTGCCTCCCACTGTGCGGGGGTTTCCTCCTCCTTCCTGTCCCCGACCTCCACTTCCCTGCTGAGACCTGGTGGGCGGCGTGAGGGACTCCTTACTGGATGCAGGAGGAGCCCTTCCTGGGGGACGACCTGGGTCTGTCTCGGGCCTCAGAGGAGCAGGGATGGAGGCTGGGGGGCGGGGGGGCTAGGGAGAACCATTGGTGGTGAGGAGCCCAGAGTGCTCTCTGATGGGCATGGACCCTCTGCCCCTGACTCCAGGGAAACAAGCTCAGATCAAACCTGAGGCTCACCTGCAACCTTCAGCTCCACCAGGGCATTTTCGAAGAAATCTCCATCTTGGAAATAACACAGGTAGGTTCCGCTGTCAGAGGCTCTGATGTCCCGAATCCAGAGAGCAGCCTTCCCCGCAGTGATGTCCTCTCTTAAAATCGAAGTTCTCCCTCGATACTCTGCTGCCGGCGTGTCCTCCTGCCCGTGTGCGTACGTGTGCACTACCTGCCTGGGGCTGGGTCGCTCCCACATCAGCTCCATGGTCTCAGCGCTCATCTCCGGGGGACAGGTGACAGGGCAGCTCAGCGTCTTCACCCACCATGGCCAGGATGGGCTCGGGGGGTCCAACCACAGCAAACTGAGCTGGTCATCAGAAGGGGGGGGGGCTCCGTCAGAGGGAGCTGGGGCCAGAGGGACCAGGGGGTGCCCCAGCAGGGAGGGCGAGGGGAGAGACACCTAGACAGGAACTCAGTCCTCACACAGGTGGGTCTGGACAGGCCTTGCAGGGGGTGGGGGGGGGGCGTCCAGGGGTTCTGACTGGGCCCCAAGGGAAAGGCTTCAGGTGCACGAACGCAGAGCAGGTCCTACCTGAGCAGGGGCTGAGCAGCTGGACCACGGCGAGGCAGACAGGGAGGGCAGGCAGAGGGGGGACCAGGCGCCTCACCATCGTTCCCTGCTGGGCAGAGAGAGACACCACGAGGGACTGGGTGGCAGTGACGACCTGGGAGAAGGTGGAGGATTCCACATGGAGACGCGGCCTCCCCAGGGCTGGCAGGGGGCATGTAACCAGGATCCCTGCTGACGGGAGAGCCTCGTCTGCAAATGTCCCCTGGGGAGTCTCCTAACCCTGGATCCCAACACGGAAATCACCCATGAAACACGGAACCGTAATGCAAGCACCTTCACCCTCACCAGCAGGGAGTCCTTGGGTCTCCTTTCAGAAAGGTGCTCAGAATCCCTCCGCTCACCCACACTTCCCTGCCCCAGCCAGCTGCCCACCCCCAGCATCACCCTCTGAGGAAGGCAGGCCCCTTGCTCTGAGTCCCTGTTCCCACTGCTGCCCCCTGCAGGCCGTGCCCCGCACAGCAGCCAAGATGTCCTCACCCCTCCCCTCCCGGCTGCTCAGCCCCTCCCAGGGGCCCCCATTCCATCCAGAGCAGAAGCGGAGTCCTTTGCACCCTGTGCTTTTACAATTACCTGAATGTTTTAAATGAAAAGTTTTCACAGTGTGGGATGTATTTCCACTTATTTCTGGAGATACTTATTGTTTTTTAATCCCGATCATATACAAGTTTAAAATAAGCCAAATAATATTAATAGTAATAACAATAATAAAATAATAATTTATGTTATAATGGAAATCATATACTTTGCTTCACATGAATGTAAATATTACTGAATGTATTTTCTATACACAGACACACTGGCTTAAGAATGTTTTCCCTTTGCAACAATTAATCTCAAAGAAAAACAATCAGGCATTATCACAAAGGTTTATATTTAAGTGTGTTCACCATGGTAAAATCTGTAATAGCAAAGTGTAGATACAATTTAAATACCCAAACTGCAACTAATTATGTTACAAATATATAGAAAACCTCTTTATTAAAAACATGATTCCTAAACCAACAACCCACATATTCTCAGTGGTGAAAAGCTGAAGGCTCTTCCTGAGGATCAGGAAGAAGAAACAGATGCCCACAATGACCACTTCCATTCAACCCTCTTGGAAGTCCTAGCCACTCTAATTGGGCAAGACAGAGAAATAAAAATCATACAAATCAGAGAGAAAAAAGTAAAAATCTCACCATTTGCAGATGACATGATACAAAATAGAGAAAAGCCTGAAGACTCCACCAAAAAAAAACCCCAGAAACAACTATTAGAACTAGTATGAATGGAGTCACACTGCAGGATATAAAAGCAGAAACCTGCTGCATTTCTACACAGCAATACTGAATATTCAGAATGAGACATTCTTTAAATCCCATTTTCAATATCATCCAAAAGGACAAAATATCTAGGATTCAATGTAAGTGGCAGACCTGTACACTGACAACTGTAGGACAATGAGGACAGAAACTGAGGAAACACAAATGAGTGAGGACATACAGTGTGCTGGTGTTGGGAAGGGTTCATATTGTCCCAATGTCCACACTGCCTAAGACAATGCACAGATGCAGTGCAATCCCTACTAAAGTACCAACGACCTACTTCTCAGAAGTACAACAACTAACCCTAAAATGTATGTGGAAACACAAAAACTCTGAACAGCCAGAGAAACCCCGAGACAGAACAAAGTCGGTGGTGTCACACTCCCTGACAGGACAGGACGTCACACGTCTGCACTGAAGAGACAGCAGGACCTGGCAGGACAGCAGTCACCAAAGTCAATGGGACAGACCAGAGAGCCAGCAACGAGTCCTCGCCTCTGTGGGCAATCGGTCTGAGGTGAAGAGAACCTCTCCAAAATGCTGTTGTCAACCCTGAACAGATACGTGCAAAAGGGTGTGACTGCATCCCTTTCCTAAACCAAGTACAAAGAAGAACACAGAATAAAATTAAAGATTTAAATGTAAAATCTGAAACCATAAAACTGGATGGACATGTAGGCAGTGAATTCTCTAACATCACTGTTTGCAATATCTTTTTTGATATGTCCCTTTGGGCTAGGGCAGAAGTGAACAAATAAATAAGTGAGACCATCTCAAAGGAACAAGTGTTTGCCCAGCACAGGAAACCATCACAAAATGAAAACACCATGTAGTAAATGAAGAAGATATTTGCCAATAGTACAATTTAAAAAATGATTACCCTTGAGTAGTGTGGCTCAGTGTGTTGAGTGCCAGCCTGAGAACCCAAAGGTGGCCAGTCAGATTCCCAGGGAGGGCACAGGCCTGGGGTGCTGGCCGGGTCCCTGGTGGGAGCACATGACAGGCAACCGACCGATGTTTCTCTTGGGCTTCAATGTCTCTCCCCCTGTCTTTCCCCCTCCCTTTCCCTCTCTCTAAAAATAAATAAATAAATGGAATCTTAAACTAAAGAAATAAATAAAATAAAAAGCAGATAATAAGAGGGCCCACTTTTTAAACCGTATTCAATATTCAGAATTTAGAAAGTACTGATACAACTAAACACCAAAAAAAACAGACAATCTGATTTAGAAAATGAGTCGTGGACCTGAATGGACATTTCTCCAGAGAGGAGGTACAGACAGTCCACAGACACACGGACTGGAACACCCTCTGTGGTCAGACAGTGTGTAGTTCTGCATTCCTCAACTGCTGTGTGTGTGGAGGCTTCAGGTTTTTTTAACAATCTTCTTTACACATACATCTTTATTATATCCTCACACAGGGACATTTTTCTTCATTACTTCTAGAGGGAGAGGAAGGGTGGAGGAGAAATAGGAGATAAACAGATGAAGAGAGTGGGCACAGGAGAGAGAAACATGGACATGAGAGAGACACATCAGTTGGGATGCCCCTCCTAGGCTGCATAATCCGGGATGGTACCCAACACCTAGGTTTGTGCCCTGACCAGGAACCGAACCCCCAGCCTTTTGGTGTGTGGGACAATGCTCCAACCAACTAACTAAGCCACACTGGCCAGGGTCTTATAATAAATCTTTAAGATGCACACCTGGTAACCCACCCCACTGTTCTTTTACCATTATTTCTGTAAATGATGACCTGCTCACTTATGTGTGACTCAGATAAACAGCCGGTTTGCTGAAGAATTCCAGACACTAACTTCAGAAGGAGCTCAGTCCACCCTCAGACATTTGGCTCTGGGAGGTTTGCTGACCTGACCAGGAACCTGAACAGACTGTGTTGTTTGCACTTGTCCCCTCCAGGCAGAACTCTCAACACCCTCCTTTCCGTGTCTTTGTTGTGTTTTTGTTTTCCTTCCATCTCTCTGTTTACAAAAACCCTGACAGTGTCCATTGTTCAGATTCTTTGTCAGGAGAGACCCCCATGATCTCGAGCTGCGGGCCCTTGAATGGACCTACTTTCCTCCCACCAGTCCCTGTCTCTCCATTATTGGCTTTCAAACAGCAGGCAGCCGAACCTGGGTTTGGTGTCCATGTCTCTTCTAGAATCTCCTAGAACACGTTCCCACAGATGAGCAGGAGAGACGGTGAGGGCCCTGCCCCTCTCTGACCACAGGAAGTTCCCAGGGACGGGCAGGTGTCCAGCTCCCTGGTTCCCGTTGTCTCCCTCCCACAGGTGTCCCAGTGCAGACCTTACCTGCCCTGCTCCACGCTCCCCCTGTGCCCTCACCTGCAGGCTCACAGCCCCACACTCCTTCTCTGGGTGAGGGACACCCTGCAGGCTTCCCCAGCTCCTCAGCCTCTCTTCCTAAAGGGGCCCTGGCTCTCACCAACTGCCCCCAATTAACCTTGACACTCCCAGATGAAAATCACAGAGCAAAGGTACTCCAGGGTTCTTTATTACAGGTGAGTCTCTGATCTGGATAGAAAGGGTGGGGAAGGAGAAAGGGTGCTCAGCAAAGGAAACAGGGCAAAGTCCCTCTTTGAAAACACTTGTTCTCTGATTGGCTCAGAGTCTGGGTCTTATCAGTTGATGGGCAGAAACCAATGGGCAAGGTTGGCATGAACAGGGACCCCGAGTTGCATGGGAGCAGTGCAGACCAGCTCCAGCCCTGACTCCCACCCTCTGGGTCTCTCTGTGTGGTCACCTGCGTGAATCAGCTCCTGGGTGTGGGTGGGTGTGAGCAGTATCTCACTGTACACACCTGCTGCATGTCACTTGTGTCACAGTGTGTTTAGCAGAGGAACCAGGACAGAGCAGCAGAGGGCAGTGTGTGAGCAGAGGAGGGTGCAGGAGTCACAGGGTCACTGTGGTCGTTGGCTAACGTCTTTGACAGCAGAGCCCAGTGCAGGTGTGACAGAGAGAGGGCAGGCCCCCCCACCTGTCCTGGCCCCTGTGACACTCAGGTCTCAGATCCACTCCCAGGCGGCACCGTGTTCAGGTTCCCACGGGCGGTGCTGTCAGGGGCCGATGGGCAGGTTCCAGGTTTTCCAGAGAAGGTTCATGGGGGCGTTGCTGAGAGGGTCCATCCACCCTCTGCCCCTCATCTGAGCTGCACTTGGGTTTTCAGGTGTGCTCACCTCTCCTCTGCTGCAGGGTCTGTGTTCTCTGAGGTTGGATGGGAGAGGATGTGAGTGTGTCTGTCAGGGGACTTGGGGACCAGCAGGGTCTACCTGTGGCCTGGGGCCTCCAGAGACTGTGTTTATGTCTCTAGGCTGTGAGTTGAGCCCCCAGGGCAGAGTGTGGCTGTGGCTGATGGACTGTGATGCATTCCATGGTGTGAATGTGGGTTCTGGGGTGGAGGTGGCTGCTCCCTTGTGCCCCATCTGTGCCCCAGCAGGGGCTGCTCCTCAGTGAACAAACTGAGTTTTGGGGGGAGGGTACTGCACTGTGCACATCCCCCTTGTTGATGGGAGAGACTGAGAGGTTGAGTTTGAGCTAATGATTTGCAGGTGGATGTTATGTGTTGTGCTTCTCTAGAGAGTTCCACGCTCCTTCCTCTTGGGTGGACACCGTCTCTGGACCTGGAGCTCAGCAGCCATCTTGTCACCAAGAGGCCACCTGGGGATGGAAGCCACACACGGAGAGGGCAGAGAATGGACACAGGTGGAGGCTGGGGCGTGGATGCCTCTCTGAGCTCTCAGACCAGCTCTGGACCGCTGCCCTCTGGGGTCATCTCCCGTGAGAGGAACGTGGACCGGTGTTTAGTTGAAGCCCCGGGCACCTCTAGTCTCTGTTAGCAGCAGCAGAACACGGCTCTTCCCGCCCCACCCATCCCATGTGTCAGCAGTTTGTCAGGAAAACTACAAAGATAGAGCACAGTTGAGAGAATGTTTCAATGAACACTGACTATACCTACTGCTTGTTTTCACTGGTTTCTCTTTTTCCTTTTTTAAATTGTACTATAGTTTTAAAATTTCAATGTATTGGGGTGATATTGGTTCACGAAGCCATACAGGTGTGAAGTGTATTGCCCAATAAAACTTCATCTGCACACTGCTTTTTGCACCTGTCATTGCAAGGAAAGTCCCTTTCTGTCCCCATTTTTTGCCCCTTTGCCCACCTCCACCCAACCCCAACACCGTTTCCTTCTGGCTGTCACCACACAGTTGTGTGTGTCTGTGAGTTACGTGTGTGTGTGTGTGTGTGTGTGTTTATGGCTCATTCCTTCACCTTCTTCCACTCAGCCCCCACCCCCTCCCTTCTGACAACTGTCAGTCTGTCCTGTGCATCCAGGCCTCTGCACACCTGCTGTTGAGGGTCCACAGTGCACGTTTACAACACACGCTTACTTCATAGTCATCCATCCTTCTGTTGATGCCTTATGCTTACTCATCTGCAGCCTTTTAAAGTAAGCTGGGAGCATCAGCACACCTTCCCCTGGGAACTTGCACACACCTGTCACGGAGAACTCAGTCCTGAAATGCGTGAGGCACCGAAGCTGTGTTTAAAACGTGGATGTAGGAGTAATTTTCAGTCCTAATTTCAAAACACTCAGTGGGTATCCCTCGCTTCTAAATGTCTAGTCTCCCTCCTTTCACGGACAGTCTGACCCAGGCCCCTGGCCCCTCCTGCTAAGATCAAGGCCACCTCCAATGTTCTGTCAGCAGGACACTCCCCACATCCTGACACAGGACAAGCGCCAACTCAGGCCCCTAGTGTAGGTCCCCTGGCATCTGATGACAGAGGTTCCTGCTTCTCCACTGATAGGACAGCAGGGGACTGTTGTTCCTGGGGACCTGTAGGATGTGGGATTCCATGAATCCCCTCAAGAATGGCAGTGTGAACCCTGAGAAAAAAAGACACCCACTAACAAGGGGTCTTGGTGGGTAACTGGGCTCACATTTTGAAACACACAGCCCAGGAGCCATTTCTGCACAGGGATCCCTCCCACAAACTGGACGTCACAGAGAGGACTGCACTGGTTTTCCCACCTTTGCACTGACCCTTCCCACACGTGATTTTTCCCAGTGAGCCCGCCCTTCTGCAGAAATCTCCCAGAAGCCCACTTCAAGCAATAAGACTTAGGCTTTAGCCTTCCAGGCACAGGTGTGCAAGTCGGGCCAATCAGAGTAGCTCAGACAAGAAAGTGACTTTTGGACCAATCAAACAGTAACAATTTGGAGCCCTCATTTGCATGAGGGTGGGCCAATCAGGGCTAGAGTCTAGGGACAGGGACTCCTGGACTTGTAAGGCCCCTCCCCTCTGTGTCAGAGAGGCAGTTTCTCTTCTCACCTGGCACTGAACCTGGAGCAGAGGGGGCACAGTTCTCCCAGGGCAGAGCAGCGGCGCAGAGCTGACGGGGGGCAGCTGTCCAGTCACTCAGTGGTCTGGTCCCTGGGCCTCTTGTCCCCAGGACAGTCCCACAGCCCGGTTCCCACGTCCCAGCTCCATCCCAGTGGAGCTGATTTGCATGGAGCAGATCCCTTCCCTGCCCCCAGTCTGGGGGTAACTGTTGCTGTGGAATCGGCCGGGACCGTGGGCACCGGCAGGAAGCTGCGGAAAGGCCTGCGGTTGGCACAGAGGGTAAATGCAGTGGGAGCCGGGGCCGTGCGGCCAGAGGACTGGGGCTGCACGAGAACTCTCCCTGCCCGTGGTCGGGCCGGGGTGACAGGCGCGTCCCTCCCAACCAACCCCACAGGGGACAGGGAGTGACCTTCCTGCCCAGGTCAGGCTGCAGCTACAGAGTGTGGGGAGCCCCTTCTCTGAGGGCCCCCTGCTGTCTCACCCACAGATTCATCCACCGAAAGCTTTGGTGCTAGAAGTCCTGTCAGTAAGCGGGACGCACTCCAGCATCGTCGGGAGGACCCCGTTTGCTCTGACACAGAGAAGCAGCCTCCTTCCCAACCAGATGGGAGCTTCTGGGCAGATGGTTTCTCACCTCTTCAGAGTTTCCAGGGATCCAGGGTCCCAGGCGCAGTTCTCACCCAGACCTGTGGGTGGCGCTGGGAGGGAAATGGGTGTGAAATGGGTAAACATACTCAGAAAGGTCCATTTTCACTAGAGAAAGCTGTGCTGTAGGTAAGGTCCCCTGCTCTGCACGTGAGTGTGTGTGTGAGGGTGTTGTCAGCCCACAGGGAGGGGCTGCCCAGCAACGCTGGTCTCCACTGTGGCGAGGACGACGTCCGACTGAGTCGGGCACCGGGAAGGCCGGTCCGGGCCCGGAAACAGAAAAGCAGGTGCCCTCCGATCCGACCCGACATGAGGAAGAGGAGCAGAGCGGGGGGGGGGACCTCCAGGGCCACCGTCCAGGCAGGGGGCTGGGGATGAAGACTCCTGGAGGGAAGACTGGAAAAGTCCCAGTCAGTGAGACCAGGGAGACCCAGGTGAGAGCACCCCTGGGTGCACCTCTGAGGAGCTCGCTCAGGTCCCTGCTCTGTCCTCTTCCCTCCCAGGAGCCACAGCGGGGGCCACGGCTGGGGGCTGATGCAGACAACTCACACACGTGACCCACAGTGTAGGGGCCGCCCCTGTGGCCCACACAACACGCCCACGCTGACGTCTGCTGGGCGCACTGGAAACACCCCGTTGTCAGGGAAACAGACAGACGCCCAGGGCAACCCTCCCAGCAGCTCAGCCACTCACCTGCCCGCCCCCCCCACACTCAGGAGCAGCTGCCTCACCAGGACACCCCGACCCCCAGACAGTCAGGCCTTTTCTGCCTCTGCACCCCTTCCTGTCACCCCAAATCTCTCGGGGGGGGCTCCCCTCCGGGTGAGGCCCTGCAGCCCCCAGTCCACGGACCGTTTTCCCTCAAACAGAAGCCGTCAGCTGGTCACCAATTAGTTCTAGTTGTGTCACCTGTCGGGGCTGAAGAGACAGAGGAGCAGCAGCACCTGCAGTCCCCATGGGAAGGACCAGATGACTGAAAACCCACAACCGTCACCGTCCCCGCTGAGCCGCCCTCACTGGGGCCTGGTCACTGCAACCCCCTCCTTCCAGCCTCTGCCCCAGTCCCTGCCGTGGCTCCTGTCTCACCGAGACTCCACCACAGGCCCCCTGGGACCTGCTTTGCCCCGTCTGCTCTGGGCCCCTTCCAGGTCCGCACCCCCCTCCCCCCATCCTCCCTGCACTCAGTCCCTCCACCCACACCTGCGCCCCGGGTTCTCCGAAACTGCCAGACGTGCTGCTGCCTCAGGCCCCGGGCACCCGCCCCTCCTGCTCCCTGGTGCTCACCCCTCACGTGCCCTGTTGCCCCTTCTCACAGGAGCCTCCCCTCACCTTTCCAGTTCCATCACAGCTCCCCTGCCTCTAGCCTCCACACACTGTCCCCAGATTGATTTTTCTACAGCACTTACCACCATGTGATGTAGTAGTTTAATTATTTTACTCCTTTACTTAACTGTCTTATAGATTAC